CTGAAGGAGACCTCATAACTCAAGAGCAATTGCTTCGCGAATGAATCTACTACCGGATCGGAATCGCGACCCGCTGAGAAGATCCGACGAGAAACTCAGCGGGCTGATGCATGGGCTAGGTTGCACGTTAAACTCTTTGTATAGTTCAACGAGTACAGTTACCGGGGTCCCTAAGCCTGCTCCTAGTGTTAGAGCTGAAGGCGTCTAATGCAAGAGTTATTGGATCTGATGGATATCATGAAAGTGTTTTTGAAGCATTTTCAATGCGCAAGTTACGTCTACGTCATTGCGCTCTAAATTTTTTTTCCGAAATTCGGGGAAGAGCTCCGATATTCGTATAGCTGACGACCACCGTTCCCAGTCGGAGTTGTTCTGTGATTCTCGTTAGATATATTTAGATTGTACGTTTTTCTGGTACCAGTACAGAAAGACATACTAGCTTGAAGCCGTCGAGTGGAAAAGAGAGGCAGGTACATGCGTAAGGTTGCATCACGTAAAAGTCCGTTCTTCATTATCAGAATTTCAGAAATTCTTCATTATCAGAAATTATATTATATGTTTTCTTAGTTATCAATATAAAATAGTTCGCAGAAAAATATACACACAGCTATAGCTCCTATAGTTAATGGGTGATGTGATAAAGTTAGGTCATGCCGGTCAGGACTGATCATCTTCCTCGTCGAATGCGACGAAGAGATCGCATTGCAACTTAGGCAGATGTTAGCAATTTCCATTGAGGCAGACGTTAGCAATTTCCATCTGGCGGAACCCGATCAGCTCAACCAGTCACAGTAAGGCGTGAACAGCCCCTCGTAAGTACCAGTAAAACAAATCCATTAACATAATTGTAATTTTCTCCAGTCTTCATTACTAACTTACGAAATAATGTAAGTTTATTAGATGGGACACAATTAAGTGAAGGATAGGCATTTGAATTGAGCATCGTACCGATATAACTCTTGATTGCATTACGCTGTTAACGTAATCGTATATTTTCATTGGGTAAACACGTTTCATGTTCACTTTATTACGCTGAATGTACTACAAAAAGCTTTTTATAAAGACACCGTGTTTTGTTGATAAAACGCTGTAACCAGTCGTAGATAAGTTGATGTGTAATCAGCACGGCGTCAATGATTCATGGCGATGTGTATTTGTAACGTGAAAAACGCGTTTCATTGGCGGAATTTCAGTAGTATTACTTTTCAGAAAATATCAAGTCTTTTATTTTCTGAATATTGATTTTTTGTCTGTTTAAAGAAATACCTTTTAAAGCGCTATATTTAGGGTACTTACTGTCAATATAATCCAAATGTCCTCTTGAAATTCTATAAATTTCACGTAGGTACATAAAAATGCCCCTATTGGATAAATCTTTTTGAAGTCGGAAAAAAAATCGCTGTTCGGTCCTAAAATATTTTGAATCATATTAGTTACCATTTAAGTCGATACTAAAATTTGTAACCTAGTTTAGAGCCAGTCATGGTGTATACCAAAAATTAGTCGGCACACGCTAATTAAACCATCGGAATGGAAATTGGTACAATCATAGTGTGTGCCAAAATACACAACTACATATTATCATTTATATGATAAAAAGAGTTGCTTGTCATCGTAATGCGCTTGTACGTGGCCTAAGTTGATCATAAGAAATAAACTACGTTTATATAATTGATTGTATAGACTAAGACTTTACTGGTGGTAGGACCTCTTGTGAGACCGCACGGAAAGGTACCACCTCCCCGCCTATTTCTGCCGTGAGGCAGTAATGCGCTTCGGTTTGAAGGGTAGGGCAGCCGTTGTAACTATATACTGAGACCTTAGAACTACTTAACACCAGGTGGCCTGTGAGCTCGTCCATCTACCTAAGCAAGACTGCAACTACTGATAATGCATGAGTAGATTATGAGAGCTCCTATTATCATCATTTTAATGTAGCGAAAGACTCCAAGCTCATCCAAAAACATAACGGTACATTCTATTATTAACAAGTCCGTACCAAGAACTAGCGTGCTAAAATAATAATGCACTATAACTTGAACCGAAGAGAAACTCATATCGTTAAATCAAAATACTACGACGTTCTCATCTTGTGCAGCGCGTCCATGTAAATGTTTATGAGTAATTAAGTTATTTCACGGGTGACGGCCCGCCTGCAAACATAAGTTATGTTTTCGTACTGCGAGCTTAAAATAAACTTAGTCATCAATCGAGGTGCTTTCCTCTACTCACTTATTTCAACTAAATAATTGAACGTTTGACGTAAATCTGAATTTTATGACGTAGATAAGTAATGGTAGAGGTGATTAAAATACTGTAAGAATTCAACACAAAAGACAAATAAGTACTATTTTTAGAAAATGCTAGGTTTTTAGTGCCATCAAATACTTAATATGAATTTAACAACAAATCTTAGGTCGTAATCATCGTAGTTCAGACATATCGATAATCTTAGGGATATTATCAGTCAGCTGCCCAAAAAAATAATGCTTTGAAAACGAAAAAGAACATATCATACACAGAGATCTTCGATGATTGTATGTTTTCAATTATGAGTTATTATACTTTAGATATTGTACCTTAGATCTGTAGCAGTACAGTATGGTAGACGTTGTGAAAAGCCTGCAACTTGCGCAGTGGTGGGACGCAGGGTAGATAAAAAAATGCGCATTAACAGTCTTGTTGTGTAATCCAAAAATTCATCTCGTAAATATTACGATTTTGCTTTGCCCATAGCCCTCTTGTAAATCTAGAAGTGACATAATACTTATGTGACTACTACTTTCTCTCAGAGATCTCAATAAACTTATTCTTGGCATTAATTGTAATGCAATCAAAATTATAGTGGGATTCGTCCGTAAATATCCAATCAGTCAGACACATTATTTTAGCAGTGTGATTAATCATGATAGAATGTCATATTAACGAAATTTTGTGAAGGCGTTTGCTACAAAAACAATATGAAATCAGTTTCAGAAATAACATTTGAGCATTAGAATTCTCTCGGGTATAATAAGCGGCCATCGTACCATTCAATCCGGAAGGTATTAGCGCGGTTATAATGTATGTTTACCCACTTGGGCTTACCGCTTACTAAGCCTCATAACTAGTAAAAAGACTTGTAAAAGGTTAGAGAAATAATATAGCGTATTAAAACATAATCCAGCAGAACGTAGAGGCTTAAAGAGTAAAACAATATTTTTTTTAATAAATTTCGCACTTTCACAGGTTATGTTTCAGAGTAGGTAGCGGCATTAACAATCTGATATCTTAGGGCTCACATCTCAGCCCTTAGAGGGACTATTTTACACAAGCGAAGAAACGGCGAAACAAACTCAACGGGCTTGTTTTTTCTCAACATTTTTATTTTTAAATACGTAAACCTATTTACAATAAAGGAAAAAACAAGTCAAAAAATACAATTAAAAAATAATAATAATAATGGAAAATGAAAAGCCCAGGAGCGAACGCCTCATTCCCAGGTAGTGCCATCTAATAAATAATCCTTAACTTTATAATATGCCTTGTTGCACAAACGTTCCTTGACATAAAATTCCTCATAAAATTCTCAAACACTTATAAACATCAACGGTAATAAATCTACCGGTTCTATAATAATATATTCCGAGATTAAATTGTCATCAAAAACAGTATCATAAAATTAAGATCATAACAAATCATTTTAGCAAAATATAAAATTAGACGCTAAGGAAAAATAATTTCATCAAAAACGTTACATTCCTCACAGAATCTGTCAAGTCTTAGTTTCAAATTGATTTTATTGTTATTAATTTTCTTAATTAATAATTTCTTATTAAAATACTACTACTTTCTCTTGTTAAAATAAACTATTATTAATTTCGAGATAGATCAAGTCTATTTTTTTTCGTATGATTTTTACGCCTTTATTAGATTACGCTTTATTATTATCTGTCATTAAAAACTGGTGTGGTTCCTTTATTTGGATATTATTGGATAAAAAAAATCAAGATTACGGCACACGTTGAAACAGCTACGACAAAGTCCGAGATTATTTATTTTGGAAGCGTCTCATTTATTATGTATGTAAGTCGGTGTGTTCATCGTTTGATACGTTTGGACGCACTTCCTACTGAACGGTACTTTATCTAAATTAACATTTGCGGTTGACCTTCGCAATCAGGATCTAAATTGTTCGTACGCATAACACTTATTTATGGTTTTGTTAAATAATGAAAATAAAAAAAAGGATATAATGAGATCACTAATGAAATAATTGAGGAATAATTAATTTGAGTCTCTTAAATTAGCCTTCAAACTATTGAAATGAGAAGAGAGTTGTAGATAACACAATACTCTCCTCCAGGCAGCTTTATCTGCGCTCTATTTAATTAACATCCTGTGTGCTTAGTGCGAGTTCTTTAACTTCTCGATCGCAGACAAGCTCACGGCCCACCTGGTGTTAAGTGGTTGCCGAAGCCCATAGACATTAACCACATCAATGCCGCCGCCTATTTTGAGACATAGATTCTAAGTCTCAGCTTTTACAGTAAAACGGCTGCTCCACCCTTCACACCGAAGCGCATTACTGCTTCACGGCAGAAATAGGCAGGGTGTTGGTACCTGCCCGTGTAGACTCATAAGACGTCCTATCACCAGTAATTACGTAATTTATAATTTTGCGGGTTTTATTTTTAGTACACGATGTTATTCCTTCCTGAAAATTCCTGAAAATTTGTTACGTTTTTCATTAGAAAAACAGGTATCTGCCTGCGGGATTGCAACACTGGTATAGTCGCATCTATTGATACGATTGCACCGGGCAACTTATACTTTAGGTTACGACAACTTTAGATGTAACTATATTAAAAAACAGTCAACGTTCTAAAAAAATAATCAATAAATAAAACGGCATAATCCAAATACAGATTCCCTATCGCGAATCTGCAGCAAACTTAAGATAAATTTTGCACAGATAAGATAGAAAAAGATATTGAACAAGATATTTATACAATTTACAGAACACAAAATGCTCAGAAAAAGTTTGTCAGACAAGCATTATGGATATACCTGGTCGAGGTGATACCCCGCGGACGGCGGAAGAAGTGTTCAAGGATGCTCAGGCATTCCTCACACAATACTACGCTTCAATCAAGCGGTAAGTCTTTTAATTTCAGTACTAAAAATAAAAAAAATGCAATTTAATCTATATCTTTCTATCTATACCTATAAATAAAAATGAATTGCTGTTCGTTAGTCTCATTAAAACTCTAGAACGGCTGCACCGATTTAGAAAATTTTGGTCTTGAATTATTTGTGGAAGTCCAGAGAAGGTTTAAAGGGTAGATAAATATGAAAATGCTCGGAATTAAATAAAAATAACAATTTTGTTTTTACTTTGATGTGACCCCCGTCGGACGGATACTTTTTGATTTACCTATAGATTGAGGCACTACGAAATCTGCCGGGTCAGCTAGCTATAAATATGCTAGCTGTATATAATAAAATGTGCTATTGGGAATCCCTATCAGGAACGAAGTTCCTTATTTAATAATTCAAAGTAATCCTTAGAAGTTAACTTTAGATAACTTTTTAATCCTTAACGTTTATTTTACCCGTTTGCTTATTAAGTAACAATTTTAAAAGACAACAGCTTCGCAAGTTTCATTCAATTATACCTACTCAAAAAGCATCAAACAGTTTTTAAACAAAGTAAAATAAAACGAAGTCTAAATTCGATTGACCGCATTCAACCAACTTAAACAAGATGGATTTTCCCGCAAACGGAAACAAGACGATTGACTCAACTAGTTTGTGTTTAACAGAGAGAACTCAGAAGCCCACAAAGCGAGGTTAGACGAAGTGAAGAGGGAATTGAAAGAAAAAGGAACGTATCAACTTAAAACTTCGGAATTGGTGTTCGGGGCCAAGTTGGCTTGGCGTAATGCGACCAGGTGCATCGGAAGAATACAGTGGAAAAAGTTACAGGTATGTCATCATGATAGAACAATTATGATTTAAAAAAAAAAACTTTATTTTTTTGTACTAAAGTCTTCTTTGTTGAACGTTGACGAGCACACGGCCGACGGCGACAGAGCTTGGCTACCATCGCTCATTGACAATATGGACGACGGATAATATCTATATCACTACACAGTATAAAACAAAGTCGCTTTCTCTATCCCTATATCCCTATGTATGCTTAAATCTTTAAAACTACGCAACGGATTTTGATGCGGTTTTTTTTAATGGATAGAGTGGTTGAAGAGGAAGGTTTATATATGTATAATAACATCCATTAAATAGTGGAGAAATCAACAATAAATTACAGTTTCCGAAGCCAAGCGAGAGCGGGTCGCTAGTAATATTATATAGCTGAAGAGTTTGTTTGTTTGAACGCGCTAATCTCAGGAACTACTGGTCCGATTTGATTTGATCCATTTATTCAGGAAGGCTATAGACTATGTAACATCACGCTAAGATCAATGAAAATGGAGCACCAATAAATAATGTTTCAAAATCGGTTTTTTTTTTTCTTTCTACGTAAATTAAGTCGCAGGTAAAGTTTAGCGTTATGTCAAAGTAACTATTCCACGCGGACGAAGTTGCGGGCAAAAGCTAGTCATTTATATAGTTCATATTTATATAATTCATTTATATTAGTTAGAGGGCCGGTAGTAGTTGTCCTGATCAGTTAAAAATCTAAAAATCTGATCGCAACCCCTTTCGATTTCCACCGCGAATTTTAAATATTCAAGGAACATCACAAACTACTAACCAAATACGTTTTTCTAATCAATACAGCGAGAGTTCACATTAAATAGGTCCAAAGTTGTATTTTAACATTGATTTATTGTTGCAAATCCTTCAGGCAATGCATTTTTTATTAACTCGACTGGACGGCAGAAGTCTCAAACTGTACTGCCAAAATTGTAGGCCCAACATCTATCTACAAAAAACATTTTAAATTAATTATTTTAGTAGCCTGTTCACAGGCTTTAGTATAATCAATAAATAAATAAAAATTAAGCCGTTATTATCCCCCACCTTTATTAGAAAAATGTCAATAATAAAAAAGAGAAAATCTAGACTTCATTAATATAGTCGAAATTAGACCACACAGCGAACCTTTAACACGTCATATCCACGATTAAAAAAAATAGGTAGTTCATTGTAACAAGATAAACATGTATTTTTATACGTGAACGCATATATTCTGATTGCGTAATAATCTTCCGATCTCATTGATAAATAAAAAAATGCGAGTCATATTATTTTGCAATGATAAAATCGAGCCTCTTTCTGTAGTTTATACCTACATATATATTAAATCGTTATCTAATACTTATACGTATAAGAAACATTTAAGTGTAAATTCTATATGTTGGAGTATATCATATATATGGAGTATATAATATATATACTCCAACATAAATGATTGCTCTCACTCTGCGAAACATCGTGCCACATGGCGTCGCATCGCGAGAGCACCGGTATCGCAGGATCCGACTGATGCATGACCACGACCACTCTGTCAAGAGCGTACGAATAGGAAGAAGAAGAAACTATACATGTAAAAACTATAGAACAGGAAAAATGGATACTGAAGAAAACTATAACTGATATTACCACCTTATACTTGTAAAGTTACGCAGAGAGTATATTTTAGTTCAAATTTCTAATTAACATAATTATTTGGGTATTATTTGAATACCTATTTAATGTCCAAAATTCCGGGATCAAAACTTTGATACGTAATTGAGCGAATGGGCCTATACTGGCCTATAGACGTCACAACGTGAATAATATAATCATAATATTTATTCTAATTCTCTCTTAAAGGTATAGTACAAATAGAGATTAACCTTATAATTTATTTTGTTAGCCTTTGAAAGAGCTGAATCATGTTCAAAGACGTGCATTACTGATCTGCAGGCTTCATCCTTCATAGGATAGATTTGGTTAGGTTATGTCGTGAACAGATGTCGCGGGCTAGTCTTGAGAGATCGTTAGATGATATCATTTGTGATATCAATGCTGCTGTTACGAATGTTGAATCCTTCAAACCGACACGCATAAATGACGCGGCAAAAACAAGCAGGATGATGGTAGAAACCCGGTACATCCGATCAGCTATACTGAGTAACTATACTGAGATCTTAGAACTTATATCTCAAGGTGGGTGGCGCATTTACTTTGTAGATGTCTATGGGCTCCAGTAACCACTTAACACCAGGTGGGCTGTGATCTCGTCCATCCATCTAAGCAATAAATAAAAAAAAGCTATTCGTATCCTCCTAGTTATTTTTATCAGTAAATTCTATTTTGATACAACAATTATTTACCGAAGTTCAGCAAAGCGTAGGAAGCAAAATTGAAAATCATAATCACACGCTAACTACGATAATTAGTGGTTTGTATTATACGAAAATTAAAATTTAAACAAAACAAGGTCAGTGTGTTTATGATCACAAATTACTTCGTGTACTGTCGTCAAGTTTCACGTGCAAGTTACAAGAATTCCTCATATTTATTTTAAAACTTAGTCATTTTTTATATGGTCATGTTAAAATGTAATATCGCGTAAACAGAATTCCGTTTTTGTTTGTTTGTTAAGGCATAGAAGCTCGCAGCAATCCGGTGGCCAATCGTACATTGATAACGACAGCCCTGACGTAGGTATTTGACAGAGGCTAATCTTGTGGGAAATTGGAAAAACCAAATTTTTCGTTTATCCAAGAATTGATTTAAAAATCTTTTTTTTTTCTATTTTAAGTATGAATTATCAAATATATACATATATTCTTCTCAGTCTCTTGTCATAGTGGTCGTGGTTGCGCTGATATATCGTCTTCTCGCATTAAAACTGTATAATCTCAAAACTTACTAAATTTTACAGGAGACTGTTTTAAAGGTTTAACATATGATATTTTTAATATTAATCATCTTTGCAACATTTATTTCTTACTTTTCAACAGTTACATTATCTGTCTTTTAAAGTAAGATATAATTATTTATTAAATTTTTTAATAGTAGTCAAAAAATAGGTAAATTAATAATTAAAAAAAACTAAAACTAAACTACGCTCTTTTGACAGTATTATTAGAAAAATACTGGTGATACCAAATGATTCCGCATAACCGCATTAACTCAATTTAGAATATTTTTGGAAATTGTACACTTTTAATGCGAAAAGACGATATATCCAATATTAAAATTAAAAGGTATATTCTACTCAAGGGAACTGTGCGATTTATGGTGGATTAAACAATGGTTAAAAAGTGATTCTAGTTAGTTAATTGAGATTAAACAAAGCAACATGTTTGCTACATTAAAATTGTAAAATATAAGGTTATACTGTGGAAGCAAATAAGACTTTTGTTTTCTCATGTCAAATATCACAATCATAATAATCATATATCAATAATAAGTGAATTTATTCGAAAAAAAAAAGTTGCTACACAATTTATTGCACTATCCCGATTTAATGTTAATTCATCAACATCGGAAAACTAATAACAAATGTGTCAAAACGCCAAACGGGATAGTTTTTCGGTACTAATACATATTATCACTACATAGTATCAAACAAAGTCGCTTTCTCTGTCCCTATATCCCTATATATGCTTAAATCTTTAAAACTACGCAACGAATTTTGATGCGGTTTTTTTTAATAGATAGAGTGATTGAAGAGGAAGGTTTATATGAATAATAAAATCCATTAAATAGTGGAGAAACCAATAATAAATTACAGTTTCCGGAGCGAAGCGAGGGCGGGTCGCTAGTTATGTATAATTTATGTATATCGTATACGTACAATAAATTCATTGGCACTAATGTACAGAATGAAAGTATTACATATCACCATTAGCATTGCGTGTTTCGGTCGTTTTGCCAAATTCACCCCGAGACGAGACATTAGGAATGTACCGGAGTTAAGCCCCGAGCACTCATTAATCCGAAAACCGAATTGGGGTTGAAAAATCTTCTTTCCCGTTTTATTTATTTCTCGAAATCGTTTAACATCCGAAACGAGAATTCTTATTTACTGCTCTCCTCTTCTACGCGACACCGAATAATAGATCAGGAATAGTATAGAAGATATTTTAACACAGTGTCCTGCAGAAAGAATAAATCTTATAGCAATAAACTTAAAAAGCCTGAACTTTTCCACAATTAATTCCCGTCGCAAGTGTAATTATGGAATATTTTATATAAAACTATCCGCTCAATATAATGGTTCTGTGTGTACGTGTTGACAATAAATTTTAATATTAATTCATAATACTCGTACTTCTATACTAATATTATAAAGTTGAAGAGTTTGTTTGTTTGAACGCGCTAATCTCAGGATGGTCCGATTTGAAAAATTCTTTCAGTTTTAGATAGCCCATTTATCGAGGAAGGCTTATAGGCCATAAGATATAACATCACGCTAAGACTAATGCAAGCGGAGCACCAAAATCGGGGTGTTTTTCCCTTTTGAGAGCTTCCACTGCGTGCGCTGCGGAAACAGTTAAAGTTTCGCGAAAATAATGTATAAGAGAATTGTTCCCCCTTAAAAGATCTAAAAAAAAGTCCGCGACAGTATACGTCTATATGTTAAAGTTGGCTCTCTATAACGTTTTTTATGTTAACCAAATTTGTTCTAAAATAAAGCATTATTTGTGAAGATCTATTATAAAGATGATATTCTACGTAAATGAAGAGGCCGGTAAAATTTAGCGTTATGCCAAACTAACTATTCCACGCGGACGAAGTCGCGGGCAAAAGCTAGTTCATAATATACTTAATACGTATGATATTTTTAATTCGAACTAGCTGACCCGTCAGACTTCGTAGTAGTGCCTAAACCTAAACCGTTGTATAAAATAAACTAAAATAAATAAAAGGAATCCGTCCGACGCGGCGACGGGGGACACATCAAAGGAAAAACAAAATTGTTATTTTTATGTATTTCCGAGCATTTTCACATTTATCTACCTTTTAAACCTTCTCTGGACTTTCACAAATAATTCAAGACCAAAATTAGCCAAATCGGTCCAGTCGTTCTCGAGTTTTAGCGAGACTAACGAACAACAATTCATTTTTATGTATATATATAGATATTTTGATAAAATTTATATTGAGTGGTAGTGATTGCAGAGTGTGCTGTTAGCCGCTATGCTAGCAGGTACCGTTATCCTGCTCATTGCGTCCGTGAAGTATCCATTCGTTCCAATTTGAAGTAATTTCACAACTGAGACTATGACCTCATGTCTCAAAGTAATCGCTAGTATTTACATTGCGTACAGTAACCACTTCAAACTAGGCGGGTCGTGAAATCTTGTATCGTGTAAAATTTAACAAATTGATATAATAACTTATCCTTAATTTGGACGAAAAAAAATATCTGTGTTCTATAAGTGATTTAAAAAAAAATGCATTGTTTTATTTTTATTTTTTAATAATTATAATTAAACTAGCGACCCGCCTTCGCTTCGCTTCGGAAACATTAAAACACACATGAAACAAAAAAAAAAAAAAATAAAAAAAAAAAAAAGTAGCCTATGTTCATCAGGGACAATGTAGGCTTCTAATGGAAAAACAATTTTTCACATCGGTCCAGTAGTTTCGGAGCCTATTCGAAACAAACAAACAAACAAATCTTTCCTCTTTATAATATTAGTATAGATAGTATAGATACTCACTATGACCAGAAAACGAGTATTGCAATTTATTTTTGACTATTTTTTATCACGCTATATTATTGGTGTCGAATAATAAAACTAGATAATAAGGGTATACTTACATATTTAAAATTTTAAATGTCTACATGTATACCGCGCTAGTGACTTAGTTATTAAAATAAATAAAAATGTAATTTAAATTAGATTGTTGACAAAGGCTATCTTATATTATATATTATAATTAATAAAACACGCCTATTCGTTTTAAAGAGCTTTCATTATAACGTGACCCTTCGACAAAAACCACACGCTCTAACTTTTAATTAGGGCTCGCTGTGTGTGAGACAGTGAAATTTCTAACTTAAACAAACATGAATTAATCGTCTTAACATTGNAAAATGTAACTTAAATTAGATTGTTGACAAAGGCTATCTTATATTATATATTATAATTAATAAAACACGCCTATTCGTTTTAAAGAGCTTTCATTATAACGTGACCCTTCGACAAAAACCACACGCTCTAACTTTTAATTAGGGCTCGCTGTGTGTGAGACAGTGAAATTTCTAACTTAAACAAACATGAATTAATCGTCTTAACATTGTATCTAAATTGATAGCTACACAGAGTTAAGTTAATTTCATAATTTTGAACACTTTTTTATTCATTAGGTAAATTAAGGATCACCTCTAGCGCTGCATCACTCAGAAATTATACTTAAAATTAAATTTAAAGCCTTAGATTAAATATCCTTAGTTCTAATGAAGAGCTGAATGAGAAAATAACGGAAGATAAAGTGATTATTGAAAAAAAAAAATACGTTTTAAAATTTAAACCATTACCTTATATTGGAAATTTTTCGGTGAAGTAATGCCGTGTATGAACAATAACTTGCATTTGCATTGCTGAGAGAATTAGGGGAGATAAATAAATTATTTTAAATAGAAAACATATTAAATATTATGTATGTTATATATACACATATTATTATGTTTCAGTAATATCACCTTCACACTACACCTACCAAGCTTCATCTCTGCACTCCCCTAAGGTAGACTGTTAGAGAATGCCTATGGCATTAAGTCTGCCTTTATACTTTATAGTATAAGAAGTTATAAATAAATAAATAAAATGTTTAAAATATAATTGTTATTTCTTTCGTAGATATTCGATTGCAGAGAAGTGACCACAGCAAGCGGTATGTTCGAAGCATTGTGCAATCACATCAAATACGCTACGAATAAAGGAAATATTCGGTGAGATGATTTTTTTTGTATTTATGCTGATGCTGTTTTTATGCTAACGATTTTACTCTTAATGGATCTGCATAATTTTTTGACTTTGGAAGTTATTACTCTAGGCACACATCTATTATAGTGTTAAAATTTTCGTGGTGTGAGTTCGTCGATAACAATAATTTTGAGCATTATTATTATTATTTTTATATCTATTCAGAATATTTAGAACATTTTATATTATATTATAATATACTCGTAATATTCTGAAAATATATATTATAGTATATAGTATATAGTATATATTATAATATACTCGTAATATTCTGAAAATGTTCGCTTCCAAACTAATCGAATATTTGATATTTATGATATCTAAGTATTGTAAATATATTGGTATGACAAAGCCGACTTTCTAAATGCAGAAGCGTACCGTAATAAGATATACCTACGAATATACCTACGTATATCAATAATACGGTATTAAAATCTAAAAAACCAATTTGAAGAATGAAATCCTAAAGATAAGCATTATTTTTATTGGTATGCACTTGCTTCATTCTACTTCTAAGGCTAGAGACGCCTTCACGAGTTCAATTTCAACGATAACAGAAATATACCGACTTATAAATAAAAAAAATTAAAACATAAGTCAATAGTAAGTGTACAATTAAACTGTCAGGCTTGTGTATATCGCGAAGTACCCAAACTTTGTATTTTGAGGGCCTATTGAATGAACAACAAAGTTTTTATTTGACATTCGGTCTTTTTTCAATTGGAGCAATAAAAATACACAAATTTTTCATTCAATAATTCACACACGTTCCTCCTAAAAATCTAACCGCACCGACCGCACATCTAACACCGCAATAAATCCGATTCAGAAGCTTAGAAGTCACAAATGATACATAAACAAAATGCAATTTGGAACTTAATTGTATACTATGCAGAGATGATATTCTATTGTCGTTACATAGGCGTGAAATAAATCAAACCACGGTTGAGTTAACTGAGCACACGGACGTGTGCTATTTAGGTAATCAAACACGTGGAAACATTTGAAATAGTAATGCACAATCAAAATACAAGTAACATATTTCAGTTCAGCAATAACGATCTTCCCACAACGCACCGACGGTAAACATGACTACAGAATATGGAATCCGCAGCTTATCAATTATGCAGGATACCAGGAGCCAGATGGAAGCATTATAGGAGATCCAGCACGAGTTGAATTTACAGAGGTAAATCTTATACCTTTAAACGAGCAATTCTTTTGTTAATATTATATATATAATCTGAATCTCGGAAACGGCTCCAACGATTTTCATACATTTCAGTATACGGGGGATTTCGGGGGCGATAAATCGATCTAGCTACGATTTATTTTCAGAAAATGTTGTTTTATTCGTGTTTTCAATAATCAACTTTATGACTCATCCCGACATCTATTGGCGAATAATAATACTATTTTTCCCGCCCTAAAGACACAATAAGATGGCGTTATAAAAAAAAACGAGCAAAGCTCGGTCATCATCTAGTGTTATTATTATTAGTTAATTGTAATTTATTAAAATTAACCGAAAAGTGCAAAAGATCTTATAACGATTCTGATATATGTTTCAAATGTTTAGTCGTTAGCCGATCTAGAGCTTTGTTTAAAATCAATCACAAAATACCATCTGAACAATACAATAAATGTTACCATTAAACGTCAAGGTTTTACACTGAATGCTCCTTTGCCAAAATAAAAAAAAACACACACATATAATATTTATATATTCGTATATACACAAATTTTAATGTATACTACGAGGAAGTTACTGGGTTTTAGACAATAATATTTTTTTGTGCCAAAGCAGAATTATGGCGTATACTAAAACTCAGTAAATGAAGGTGCTTTTAATAAAAAAAATTATCAGCTAGACAGTCAGATATTCATTGGCCCATTTGATGTTTTGTAACGCTGTAAATGGCAGGTTTTTTTGATGATTGCTTTCGTTCAGATTTGTATGAAACTTGGATGGAAAGCGCCGCGCACCCCATGGGACATTTTGCCGCTCGTACTCTCTGCTGACGGAAAAGATCCTGAATTCTTTGAACTACCCAAAGAAATAGTTATGGAAGTGCAATTCGAACATCCTGAGTAAGTGGACACAAAAAAAACGTATCGAAAAAAAAACCCATGTCTTCTGCCTACTTCCAAATTATTACTTAAGCATATTATAACAAACATTTGCACGTCACTTCTCCGACTTTAATAGTTCTGTGGCAAATTACTTACCTGATCTGCAAAAATATTTTAAGCCAATCAACATACAGCCAAACAATTCAGAAGATACTTACAAATAATTAGAAGATTGAAAGTGGTCTGGTTATTATAATTATTCTATGATTAACAGATATGACTGGTTCAAAGACATGGGTTGGAAATGGTATGCTTTGCCGGCTGTTTCCAACATGAGGCTTGACTGCGGGGGCCTAGAGTTCACAGCTAATTCCTTCAACGGCTGGTACATGGGCACTGAGATCGGATGCAGGAACCTCTGCGATGAGAGTCGACTGAATATTGTTGAGGTCAGTACGTAAATGTCGGTTTGCTTCGAAAAGTTTTTACGGTATATCGAAGGCCATAAATGCTTTTGCAAATTCCTTCATAGAGTTTTAACTAATAAAACATCTTGACACCAGACGAGCTTATAAGCTTAAATTCACATATGTACATTTTATGAAACATCATTCAAGCATACCTTTAAATGAGAAATTGTTGTATATTAATATATATAGTTATGTATATAATCTGAATCTCGGAAACGGCTCCAACGATTTTCATAAAATTTAGTATACAGGGGATTTCGGGGGCGATAAATCGATCTAGCTACGATTTATTTTCAGAAAATGTTGTTTTATTCGTGTTTTCAGTAATCAACTCTTCCCGACATTTATTGGCGAATAATAATACTATTTTTCTTAATTGAGGGCAACTAACCGCTTTAAAGACACAACAAGATGGCGTTATAAAAAAAAACGGTCAGCGTCTNATAAAATTTAGTATACAGGGGATTTCGGGGGCGATAAATCGATCTAGCTACGATTTATTTTCAGAAAATGTTGTTTTATTCGTGTTTTCAGTAATCAACTCTTCCCGACATTTATTGGCGAATAATAATACTATTTTTCTTAATTGAGGGCAACTAACCGCTTTAAAGACACAACAAGATGGCGTTATAAAAAAAAACGGTCAGCGTCTTGTGTTTGTTAAAACACATTTTTTGGCGGTACGCGTTTGAGCATAATTATTCGTATTTGATTATTCGACTTAACTTAATAGGTGTATGTATGGCTCTAATAAAGAATAAAAAAAAAGTATTCGAAATTGTATTTTCAAAAACACAACAAGAAACACCTTTTAAGATCTTCATAAATTATTAAATCACTTTTCAAGGTTACAGGCATACAACTTCTGCCTTCTGTAATTGTGCTAATAAATCTCACTAATAATATAATAATAAGTAGGTTTTGTAAGTACATCCGTTTCAGTGACCGCATAATTTATTGCTCTCCACAAAAAAAACACCTTCGAGCAAATGATATAAATTGTCGGAGAAGTAAAAAAAAACGGGAGCATGACCCATGAGAAAATTATATGAACTTATTAAAGTTTTTAGATATTAGATTTAGATATCTATTAAGATATCTAAATGTTCAATCGTTACCTAGAGAATTTTTATTTCAATTATTCGTAATGCTTTTTTTTGCGCAAATATAATTGAAGCTATCGGACGTTATTATGTTCACCGTATAATCATTTTTCCCAGAACTATTACGTACTATGAACTACTTTGTAATTTATTCGATTCTGATCAATATTTTAAACACGAAATTAAGCCGTAAAAGCCATTATACTATAATATGTATTTGGGACTCTAATAATCACTTATAAAACAACACATAAATTAAAATGACCAATTTTATTGCCATATCAACTACATTAGTGTTTCAATAAAATTTTGGGTACTAAATCTATAAAAATGAATTGCTGTTCGTTAGTCTCACTATAACTCGAGAACGGCTTGACCGATTTGGCTAATTTTGGTCTTGAATGATTTGTGGAAGTCCAGAAAAGGTTTAAAGATAAATATGAAAATGCTCGGAATTAAATAAAAATAACAATTTTCCTTTGACGTGCCCCCCGTCAGACGGATGCCTTTTGTTTGTTTTAAGTTAATTTTATACAAAAGTTTTGGTCTTTTATTTATCGATTGAGGCACTACGAAGGCTACCGGGTCAGCTAGTATTCATTAAAAATACTAAAACGATAATGTTAATATACTAATAGCATTCAGAATGACGGTCTTAGTTGATCTATGAATTATCTAACGCAAACGACTGACGGGGCGACAAAAGATTAGTTAGTGAAGCACTCTAAGTTCCGTATTCAGGGATGGTAGAGACGTTTTACAATATTATTGAGATTTCGATCTCATATCTCTATTTGGGTATCAACGTTCGCGATGTGGTACCTAAGAGTTCTGGTAAGAAAGAATAAACGGGCAGACCGTGGGTATTCATATGGTGTAGTAAAAATAATTACTAAAATTATTGAAATTATTTTTATTCTCACATATATAAATTATTAGAAATATCGAAAATTACGGTATAAGAAATTTGAAGTTAAAGCGTAAAAGTAGCTTTAATTCTTTATACGACTTACGGAAACGGAAGACAATTCTATAATAAAAAGTATATTAAGCAGGGATTATGTGTACAAGATAAGAACTTTTTTACTGGTGGTAGGACCTCTTGTGGGTCCGCACGGGTAGTTACCACCACCCCGCCTATTTCTACCGTGAAGCAGTAATGCGTTTCGGTTTGAAGGGTAGGGTAGCCGTTGTAACTGTACTGAGACCTTAGAACTTTTATCTCAAGGTGGGTGACGCATTTACGTTGTTGATGTCTATGGGCTTCAGTGACCACTTAACACTAGGTGGGCTGTGAGCTCGTCCACCTATCTAAGCAATAAAAAAGATGTGTGGAGGATTATTATAAAAATATTAATTTTAAGTTCTATTCGAGGTATAAAGAAAATAAAACTGGAGGATTCGCAACAACCCACGGTCATTGGGTAACGTGCGAACTTATTGTGGTACACTTCATTCACGGTTGTTTGCATAAGAGTTAGTGTATTGCGCAAACGAACGCTCTGAGATCGTGGTCAATGAATGATAAAAAAATACATTATTATTTGTACGTTATTACAAAGTTAAATCGTACACTGTCTGTCTGCATTACTAATAAAAATCTTACGGTAAGGATATGATTACGTATCACTAACGAACTTTTATTATTGAAACTTTCAGGCTGTAGCCAAGAAAATGGGTCTAGACACAAACTCGTTCGTTTCTCTGTGGAAAGATAAGGCATTAGTTGAAGTTAATATAGCGGTACTGCACAGTTTCCATAGAGATAACGTGTCCATTGTTGATCATCACTCCGCGTCCGAACAATTCCAGAAGCATTTAGAAAATGAAAATAAAAGCAGGTTAGCAAACATGTTTATTTCTTAATTTTATATTTGCAATCAGGACGAAAATATCGAGTGAAGTTTGCAGTTCGAGAAATGGGTAAGCATAAGATTGCATAATAGTTTTATCTATATATTTATTCAGGCTTCAAGAAAAACAAAGGGGATGGTTTTAAGCAAGTCGTATAAGCATACTAGTTATAGCCATATGTTTAATATGTACAAAATGCGTAAAGATAAAATGTATTTGATATAAAAAAGCATGCAGCTGACACAATTTATATTTACTACACGAGAATCTCAACTTTGTAAAATCGCTCTCAACTAACAGATTGCATAGTTTGTAACCCGGTATCAAAGTATCACAATTTGTGGCGTTCTTCTCAACACAACATTCTTGTATAGTTCAGTGTCTAGAAATTTACTAGGTTTCAGACAACAAAACTTTTTAGTGCCAAAGCATAATCATTGCGTGTACTGAAACTCAATGAGTAAATAAAGGAGCTTTTTATAAAGTCTTTATTCACTAGATCGATGAACATATCTATTGGCCCACTTAGTGTTTTGATTATTAGTAGATTATTTAGACATCGCAGTGGAAATTTGAATCAATTGCATAACGGCTTAATATGAAATATATGATAGGCCATAATATGAAAGGCGATTACATGCAGCAGACATGCGAATTTTGCGATGGATGTGTGGAGTAACGAGAATGGATAGAATATGGAATGAATATGTTAGAGGAAGTCTGAAAGTGGCACCTGTGACGGAGAAGTTGAGAAGTGCGCGCTTGGGATGGTATGGACATGTGATGAGACGAAATGAAAATGAGGTTGATAAGAGAGTGTTGACTATGAATGCTGAAGGATATAGAGGAAGAGGTAAATCTAAGAAGAAATGGATGGATTGCGTGAAAGACAATTTATGTAAGAGGGGAGTAAGCGAAGAAATGGTATAAGATAGAGAAGTATGGAAGGAGAAAACATCTTGCCCCAACCCCAGGTGACTGGAAGAAGGGCCGGAGAATGATATCTATACTAATATTATAAAGTTGAAGAGTTTGTTTGTTTGAACGCGCTAATCTCACGAACTACTGCTGGTCCGGTTTGAAAAATTGTTTCAGTGTTAAATAACCCTTTTATTGAGGAATGCTATATAACATCACGGTAAGACCAATACAAGTGGAGCACCAATAAAGAATGTTTCAAAATAGGGGCTTAAATAGCTCCTTAACATTCTATAATTCAAAAATATTTTCACTTTCTACGTAAATGAAGCGGGGGGGGGTAAAATTTAGCATTATGCCAAAGTAACTATTTCACGCGGACGGAGTCGTGGGCAAAAGCTAGTGTATAATATAACAGCTGTCAAATATTTGATTACTTCGTGAAAGAAATAGGTGCTTATTCGTGTGAGCACACAACACGCTCTACTGCTAATAAATGCGATCGTAGTACGTTGTTATATTATTCAAGGAACGCTACTGTCTATTCTTTTGTGAAAACCTCCATCCCCTTGTACAATGACTACAAGAAGAAATGGAGTAGTACTTTTCTGGGCTATTACCATTGTGACGTCACAAGCATGATACGATTTTACCTGAGCTCATCACAGAACATTATTCTCAGGGGCGGATGTCCAGCTGATTGGATATGGATCGTTCCACCGATGTCTTCATCGTTAACCACAGTGTTCCACCAAGAAATGGCCTTGTATTACATCAGACCGTCATATGATTATCAGGTTTGTTCTAATTATTGATATCGATAAATTTATTGTTGTTTTATATTTTGTTAAAAAACACAAAACTTTCGCATCTTTCAACGGACAACTAGACAGAGTTCTTAATTTGAACGTTATGTTTTTTTGTTACTGTTCGCTTTAGTCTAATTTAATTCTATCCGAGAAAAGCTGTCATTGACTTTAGTATTATTTGTTTAATCTCCTATCATTTTTATAAGATTTGAAACCGACAGAATAGTAATTCCTACACTCGACTACCTCCTATTGCTTTAGATCCAAGATTGACTAGTGTAGGGATTAAGGATTTTATTTATTGATTTTATTCACTCTAGCCAGTTATTGTGCAACAATGTAAATTATTTAGATGAATTTCGTTAAAATTTGTGCGCTATAACTTTCGGTACAGCTGTCCTTTATTTCACCTTTATTGGCGAAGTGGAAAATTTGATCGTTTACTCGCAGTTTATTGAGATATTTAGGGGTTTAGGGTTAGTGTCAGGTTTCGTTAGAATGACCCGTGGGCACGACCCTTGCCCGGTCCCGAATAATTGGGGAGCCCGGAGTGGATGAGCAACGTTCCCGAATTTGCGTCGAAATCTCGCCGATAACGCCCGAGACTAAAATATCCAGAGAGTTATTGAATATAAATATGTTTTTGAATATTAAATTTTGTAATTTTCTTCAGACTGTTCAAGATTGCCACAATATTTGTTGACGATTACCAAAATTAAATAGTGCCTCTATTTTCAAAACTATCAACCACATCTTCACTATGTCTATTCGTAGAAAGCGTGTCCAATCCAATCAAATCGAAGTGAGCATCAAACATCTAATTTAGACTTAATATATTTATATATGACACAGGAGCCACCATGGAAGACTCACCAATGGACGAAGTCTGACGGCACTAAGACCGTCCACAGGAAGTTCCACTTCAAACAGATCGCCAGGGCAGTTAAGTTCACTTCCAAACTGTTCGGACGGGCGCTCTCCAAGCGCATCAAAGCGACTATTCTCTACGCAACAGAGACGGGCAAATCTGAACACTACGCCAAAGAATTAGGAACTATTTTCGGGCACGCTTTCAACGCGCAGGTGAGTTTACAGTCGACGTGAGTTTGATAATGCCCGCTTTATAAATAGTACGGCGGTCAATTAAAACACTGTTAAACCAGAACTCGTAAAATCTATTTTATTTTCGTCGGAAGGTTTTGTCGTTTTCAAACCACATTGTATTAAAATATATTTCGAAAACGTGCTGTAAGTGCTTAATATTTAAAACTTGCCTACGTAAATTTCACAATGGGTCATTTTAAATTTACCTTGTATATCATAAAAAAAACTTTTGTTATTTCGTAGGTAATTTGTGAAATTATTTGATGTCTTTCTATAGTATTTTTTTTGTAAATGTCTAATATACTTCACTACACATACTACGCATAAGAGGCTGCAATTTCAGAATGCCACTCAGTATTACTACTACTCAGTGGCCTTAGATATTTTAGGGATCTTAGATATATTAGAAAATGAAAAACTATATCTTGCTTAACGGACTTACAAAAATAATCAGATATTAAAAATTAATTGTTCTAACATTTTAATTGACAGGTACATTGCATGTCGGAATATGATATGTTTTCTATAGAACATGAGACTTTAGTTCTCATAGTGGCTTCCACGTTCGGCAATGGAGAACCTCCAGCTAACGGAGTCGTAAGTATTCAATCAACGTAATTTCCAATTTCATAAAACTCTTTAAGATTCTGTGTTACAATTAATTGCATTGGATTTTATGAGCTGAGAAACGGAGAGCTCCTATTTGTTAAAGTAGGGCGTAAATTTTTCAATATCTAATTACAAATATTTAATTACGTGTTAAGTCATTCGGAGACAAAGTAAAAAACGGCCGAGATATAATTTATAAAAGCTTATAGTTATATGACATAATAACCCATAACTTCCATTATAGTTAAGTGTCTACCTTCACGTTTTAGAACTTTTTTTTATTGCTTACATGGGTGGACGAGCTCACAGCCCACCTGGTGTTAAGTGGTTACTGGAGCCCATAGACATATACAATGTAAATGCACCACTCACCGTGAGATATAAGTTCTAAGGTCTCAGTATAGTTAATGAATAGATTACATTTGATGCTTCAAAAGTGAAACCTGTTATAAATACTTATTAGACTGTTTTGTTATTTATATCCGTTTGACTATTCGTATATCGTTATCGTATTTCAGGATTTTGCAGAGCATCTATTTCAAATGCTTTACAATGAGACAAACAATAATCGAGGAGATGGTACAAATGACTTAGGCTCTGGGTAAATATTCTTTTTTACATAATTATAGTTATATATTTTGACAAAATGGTAAAAGGACTTATTGTGAGCATTCACAGAATTGCTTTGAGGCAAAAACGGGCAGGTTTCAGGAACATACCAGTTACGTACTATGAGAATTTTAACAAGGAAAATAAGTACAACTTTCCGAATCTGCCGGATATTATTATGATGATGATAAATATTACATTTTTATTAATAGAATTCACATTTTTAGTACGTTCAAGACACCAACACCAAAATCACTGATGAGATCAAACAGTATGATGACACCGAGCTTTGAATATAAGCGGCAATTAACGAGATTAGAGTCTAACAAAAGTATGTATTTTTAATTATTTTTTATTTACCAATTTAAAATTTCCGGTTGTTTTGAATTGAAAATATCGCAACGAGCTTTTACTTTTTTTAAATAAAGAAACATTTAAAAATAGCCTGTGGTTAATATTATCTTGAATCTAGATAAATTTATTACCTTTTATTTACTTTGTCCACTAATAGAGTTTGTGAAATAATGCAGCGCTATCGATCCCAAACAACCTTACCAAAAACCATTTCATTTTCAGGTAGCGTGGCCGGTGCATCATCTATAGAACAAATAGGACCTCTCAGCAACGTTTGTTTTGCTGTATTTGGTCTGGGGTCGAGTGCGTACCCAAAATTCTGTCATTTCGGTAAAACAGTTGACAAAATCCTTGGTGATTTAGGCGGCGAAAGAATATTAGAACTGGCATGTGGTGATGAATTGTACGGACAAGAACAACAGTTTCGCGCTTGGTCTTCGAAAATATTTCAGGTTAGTGTAAATAGAAAAATAATTTATCGTTTTAAATATAAGACCGTGAGACATCCGCCATTAATGTGGAGATCTTTATATAAATCAATACAGTGGACGCAAGTGGCTATTCCAATTAGTACTAGGGTATTCAGTAATGGACGTCGTTGTCTCTTGGTAGATATTTTTACATAAATAAAACAAATAAAATTAATTCACGTTTTTTAGTATAGTATATTATAGTATTTAGTACAGTACAGTATAGAGTGGAACAAAATCAATTTTAATTAGCTATGTATGTAGTTAATAAATTCACTGCTAATTTTAAGGTTGCCTGTGAAACGTTTTGCTTAGATGAAAACGACATGGTAAAAGATGCAAAGAAAGCTTTGGGTGACGTACCGCTGACAGAAGAGACAGTACGTTTCGGAAAATATCAGGGAGATACAACGCTAAAGGCAGCTCTGGAGGCCAGCTTCAGAAAACAGCTTATTACTTGTAAAGTTAAAGAGAATAAAAACCTAGGGGACTTCTCAGCGGATCGGGCCACAGTATTTGTTGATATGCAACCAGAAGTAAGTATGATCTTAATGTTGTAGTTTTAGAAATTTATACTAACAGATAGCTGGAATTGCTGACATAAATTAACTAATCCAAAATTACGAATTAGGTATTTGTATTTAGCGAATAGTTTTTTTTTTTTAAACTGTATGCAAAGAGATGATATTATAACATTGCAAAAATCACCTTGATATTTATGATATACGTGGAACCTTCATTTTCAAATATTGAATAAATCAAAGTAGTAAAGCGCATTAAAATTTCTGTTTGTTCTTTCTTTGCTATAACTAAATAACCAATTTATTTTAGACTGAATTCAAATACGATCCAGGAGATCACGTCGGAGTTTTGGCTTGTAATAGAAAAGAAATAGTAGATGCAGTACTAGAGAGGATGAAAGATGTTGACGACTATGATAAAACTGTTCAATTACAAGTGATGAAGGAGACGTTGACACCTACAGGTAATATGAATAAATTAAATAATACAATAGAGATCATAAAAAGCGTATGAACATATTTACGATGTCCAAATATTGTAGAACTTATGTAAATAAAATAAAAAAAACACTTTTGATTCTCCTTATAGTTCTTTGTAGTTCAATTTTCATCTTTTAAGTTTTTATTGCGATGCACAGTCGGGTGACCTTTAAGCCTTTAATATCATAGATAATGGTTTACGTCATACTTGAATTACACCTAAATACATATAATAAATCTCTTTAAAGAAATTAATGATATGAAATGTCGTGTAAAAATTATAATGATTCGTTATAACAAGCTGCTCGTATATTTCTCTTCTAGGTGCTATAAAGACATGGGAGCAACATGAAAGATTACCAGCGGTAACGATACGACAGATATTTACGAGATTTCTTGACATCACGACACCACCGTCAACGACTGTACTGAAATACTTATCTAAAGCTTGCACTGACCAGAATGATGCTGCCCAACTTAAAGAATTAGCCATAGTAAGAACTTCCTTTTTTCATAAACCATGGAAAAAGTTCTGTTAATGTTTATTGTGGTTGTCTCTTATAACACTATCACTTATTGTTTGACTTAATTCAGTCAATAATGAAAATCTATAAAAGTATACAATAATGTAATGTTACTGTATACTTGTATGCTGAGGGTGTGGTTACGACCCTTCCACAGTCGACCCACACTTCAAACTGAAACGCATTACTGCTTCACGGCAGAAATAGGCAGTGGGGGTACCTACCCGTGCGGACTCAAGACGTCCTATTACGCAAATTATAATAGCGCGGGATTGATTTTTATTAAACGATGTTCCTTCACCGTGGAAGTCATGAATGTTTGTGAAATACGTGTTTCATCTGAAAAATTGCTACCTGTCTGCGGGGTTCGAACACCAATACAGTTACATCTCTAGACCTGAGTAGCCAGGCGTTTTATCTTTTAGATCGGGACGACTTCTGTGTAATCCGTTGGTTCCTCCCAGATCAAGGAGGTCAGATGGCACGATATTTTTTCTATTAATGAACATTTAACTCTTCTAGGATTCCAACAAATACGTCGACTGGAGGCATCTCCACTATCCACACTTGGCCGAAGTACTAGCGCAGTTCCCTTCATGTCGACCTCAAGCATCTTTGCTAGCGGCCCTACTACCATCGTTACAGCCGAGGTTCTACTCCATATCTTCATCACCACTAGCGCATCCTCATAGAATTCACATCACATGCGCTGTTGTTGTTTACAGGACACAGAGTAAGTTATCTAATTGAATTGAATTTAATTTAAATTAATAGGAATGAAACTAGATACCCATATCTTTGATTTGTTTTTATTCGGGATTTTTTAATTTAACTAATACCTAAAAAAAAATACTGATGCCAAAATGAAATTTTAACAGACGGACAAGGCCCGATGCATTATGGAGTATGCTCTACATACCTACAAAATCTAAAACCGGAGGACGAAGCCCTAGTTTTCATAAGACGGTGAGTTTCTTGGCGATTATATCAGTTTATCGATGTTCACAATTAATTTACAAAGACTAACTTGTGTTGCAAAATTTACAGTGCACCAAGCTTCCATATGCCTAAAGATTTATCAGCACCGCTTATTCTTGTCGGCCCCGGCTCTGGTATAGCGCCGTTCAGAGGATTTTGGCATCACAGAAAGCATCAGATCAAGAATTTGATACCGAACAAACAAAAACCAGGTCCTGTCTGGTTGTTCTTCGGTTGCCGAAACAGAGGAATGGATTTGTATAAAGAAGAAAAAGAAAAAGCGTTAGCCGATGGAGTATTGAGCAAAGTTTTCTTGGCACTTTCTAGGGAAGACTCTGTTGAAAAGGTATAGTACTGAGTAAGGTATTTTGGAGAATTACCCAATAGAGTAGGTTTTATCTCATTATTTTTCACTATATCATCACAGAATATTATTATGTTATATGTATATATGTTATAAGATTTAAAAAAAAAAAACGTTCATTGAATTCAAAACTATTTAAATTAAAATTATATTATATTTGAAAGACATGTCAAACGTCAACGAGATGCAAACACTGTTGAAGTATATTTTAATTCAAAATAAAGTAAACAAAGAATGTACATAGCGGAATAATATTATTATAACTATATATGTATATTATAACAGTGCGAAATGGGTATTGGGAAATGAATTTCGCACATGAATGCGAAAAGTAAATTTACAGCCTTCGGTGCGATACATGTACATAGATTTGCGTCTAAAATAAGGCATATTAAATAAAGTATATTATATTATGTTATTGCTTGAATTGCAAATTAAATATCATATATTATTAATTGAATTTCAATTAATAATAATACAGGCCTTCTTGGTATAATATATTGTGCAGCAAATTTTGAGCGCTAGCAAAGCGACTAATAATAAGCACTGATCTATCAGAGATCATGCAATATACTCTTCTTCTTTTTCTTAGCCTACCTAAACTGATGGCCTTGAGAGGCCATTTTAGCGTAACCCTAACATGTAGGTGAGCTCACGGGGCTCAAACCTGGAGACGTTGCTAAAACTAATTCTCGAAAAAACCGTCCTTGGCAAAATCTGCTACGGGATCGGAAACGCGACCCACTGAGAAGTTCCGGCGAGTAACTTAGTAGGCTGTGTCTGTGGGTTAATTTACTCGCCGAGCCCTTTTTTTTTATTGCTTAGATGTGTGGACGAGCTCACAGCCCACCTGGTGTTAAGTGGTTACTGGAGCCCATAGACATCTACAACGTAAATGCGCCACACACCTTGAGATATAGTTCTAAGGTCTCAGTATAGTCACAACGGTTGCCCCACCCTTCAAACCGAAACGCATTACTGCTTCACGGCAGAAATAGGCGGGGCGGTGGTACCTACCCGTGCGGACTCACAATAGGTCCTACCACCAGAACCCTTTGTTGCAAACGACGGGTTCGACGAGAACGATGACCGAGCAATATACTCGTTGGTCTTAGGTAACGTTATGAAATATGATCAATTAATTTATTTAATTTTACAGAAACACATCCAAACGCTACTGGAGGACGAGGGTGCCGAAATCTCACGGATGCTTCTAGACGAAAACGGACATTTCTACGTTTGTGGTGATTGTAAAATGGCTGAAGAAGTTCAACAGAAATTAAAAGAAATCATGAAGAAACATGCCAAAATGACTGAGCAAGAATATGAAGAGTTCATCTTGAACTTGATGGTGAGTAGTATTTTGATGCAGTTGAGTATTTTTAGTATAATTATAGGTGGATACGGAAAGGAAGCATGTCAATCAAATAAAAAATTTGAAGCAATTTTATTAAGGTTACCGGACGAACCTATTTCGACATCCCTAACATAAGTTATTTTATTTATTTATTTAAATCAGAAAGCTTATAATACTAGTTTAGAATCAAATTTAAACATGAGGGTAACGTGAAAACCTAATCAGTCTGATTTGTAGTGTTTATCCTTTTTATTTTAGGATGAAAACAGATACCACGAAGATATCTTCGGGATCACTCTGAGAACAGCAGAAGTTCAAAGTGCATCAAGAGAATTCGCTAAAAGGACAAGGCAGGAATCACAGAAGTCACAAACTTAAAGTTTTTCTACAATACATTTTAGATTAAATTGATTTTAAATCTAATTGCAAACGTTAGCTCAAATTGAGCAGTAAAAAGTTTATATTTGTTTCTTAAGCATAATAAACTTGATAATGATTTTGTGGTAGCATATGTAGCTTACAATACTGATCTATAATTGAAATATCATCGCCTCAAATGAAGACGATCCAGCAATTATTACTTCTATAAAGTTTATAACGGGCCGCATTGTTAAGGTACCCTAATGGTTATAGTTCACCGTCACATCACTCTTACACCATGTTCACGCTAAGCGACAACTCCATGTGACACGTCGTCTAAGATTCACGTTTCGCTGTCATCCTATTCACAGCGGAGGCGATATCGAAATTGGCGCGACAACTTGTCAGAAGTAACAGCCGAAAATAACATAAAGAGGTTATATTTAAAAAAAAATCTGAAAATCTGCGAGCGCAAGTTTCTCATAACTTATGTTTCTTGAAATAAGTAAAATAATATCTGAGCAGATCTCGAATCAAATCTAAAGAATCCGTTGCAGAAATAATAAGTTATTATTTATTTTAAAATTAACCATAAAAATTTATTTTACTCCTTTAAATTGGTTAGCTTTTATTGGTTCCTAAAAATAATAATATGGCACTCTTCTACGAGTATTTTACAATCACTACGATTATTAATTATTTATATTTGTACAATCCTATGATTATATTATCCAGTATTATTAATTTTTATATTTTAAGTTAAATGAAGCATTTTCAGTGTTTGACATATTGTAAATGGTCATTAGATCATAAGTACACTAAAATAAAAGACACATAAACATTAAAACTGTTTTATTGATTTTCTTGCGACTTCGTTTATGTTTTTCGTCTTACGACATGATCGTATATTTCTACTTGGGTATATCTAGGTGAGTATATCCTGGTCTTCGTTGTATTCTGCCCTGGGTCTTGTTGGGGATCTGGACATATGATTTTGTGATCGTGTCTGTTTTGAAATAATAACCCTCTATCCGGATCCATAAGTGGCTAGAAATAATTTAATTTTTGGTAATATGGGTCAGAATACGGAAGAAATACAAAGTTGATAGTCATAGCGCTAAAATTTTGAAGTTGGGTACATCATTTAGGAATTTTTTTCAAATAATATTCCTGATAATTTTCAATAAAGATTTTGGTACAAAAATAGATAGTTCAAATTTATTGAAACATGCAATTAAACATGCAAACAAATCAAACCCCAAATAAGTACCTAGGCCTGAAATTTTCCCAACTACATTTAAACATGACCAAAATAATGTCATTATAACTTGTTTTCGACATAACGCAAATAACTTTCACGAGACACAGTCTATCGCTACAAGGAAAGCTATTACTGAACTATGCCAGAATTCAACCGAGCTAAAACCTTCACTCGATATCGAAATTGTTTCTGGATAATCTTGAAGCTTCAAACACGTCACACTACATTGCCATTCTTAACATTAGCTTGGTATATATCTATGTATGTATTCGAATATCTGTGTAACATATTCGAAAGTGATTTCTACGTACTTTAAAGTATTGAATTGAATTGAATCTTCGCACACTCGTGAGATATCGTCGAGGATACAAAAAAATTAATAAAATTATCCAATCATCTTGATTGGGGGATTCAAGATTTACGACGGTACGGACGGTTAAAACACGTTGACGTCTTGTGCCACGTACTAAGACGTGTAGGCGTCTGCTGCCTTCCTTGGACATGATAGCTATTTCTCATACTCATTCTTGAAATCGAATCCTAAATCCTCATTAAAACCGCGATAGTCACAGAACCTATCATCAGACAGAGGATTTAATTGCTCAAAGTTAACAGTTAATTTTCGGCTAGCCACAAAAGCGTGTATTTTAATGTTTTTTTTTAATTATTATTCGTTATTTTTCAAATACTTATTATACTTAAGACGAATCTTAATGGGGAACCAAGTTGGTTTTGGCTTGCAAGATTTAATGACGATTACATGTAGTTACTGCACGACCAATTAGGTCAGCACATACATATACCAGAATTTTCTTCAAAATACGAAATAGAAACGGGAAATTTTCACATCCAAATGATAATTTCTCAAGACAAAGACATAGGAACAAAGAAATTCTTCAGGAATTCTATAATTTGAGTAGAAGTTTACCAAATTTCCAAGGCAAATGTTTTCGCACAAGAGTATAGAAAAATTGTGTCGTAAAAACGAGGGTGTTGATGTCTTTTCGTTGATAGAATTATGAATAGCGTACCAAAATATTCGAACCTTTTTGTGTTGTAAAAATATGATCATGTTAAGTGGAAGACACGGTTAGTGAGACGGTACTGGCATAAATCAATGTCCAAGAATACTTTATTGATTATTTGGCACAACGAATTAACTATTATTCTGTTGCTTACTTTCTTTTGTAGTTATTCGTCTAAAATACTTTGCTAGTACAACGAACAGACATATCTTATAAGCCGGAAAAAATATCCATATCTTGAGAAAAAAGAAAAAAATATCAACTCTGATCTACATTTTTTTATTGACTGGAAGTAACGTAAAATAAAACAGTTAAATGCCATTATATTGTCGATTTACTTTACATATGTAATAACTAAAAACTGACCTTATAATTTCTGCTGATGTTGCTCCTAACGGTTCCGTGACGCCAATGATAATATCCCAGGTCTTTATCTCTGGGCCAAAGCATCTTCTTCGATCTGAAGAACTGAGCCCAGTTCTCCGAGACCAAGCGATGTGCGTAATCTATGTAACCGGATATTTCGAAGCCCCCTTTTGTGAAGTGTCGAATGAATATAATGGACTGAAATCGGACTGAATGTTATGTATGTATATGATACTTAATGTTATTAATAGCAGACAAGTCGTTATTTTAGTATTTTGTAGGAAAATTTGCAATATTTTGTCTTTTTTTTGCTTATATGGGTGGACCACCTCACGGGCCACTTGGTGTTAAGTGGTTACCGAAGCCCATAGACATCTAAAACGAAAATGCGCCACCCACCTTGAGATATAAGTTCTAAGATCTCAGTATGGTTACAACGGCTGCCCCGCCCTTCAAACCGAAACGCATTACTGCTTCACGGCAGAAATAGGCGAGGTGGTGGTACTTACCCGTCCGGACTCACTAGAGGTCCTACCACCAGTAAAATCGTGGATTGATCAAATGTCCGAGCACCTGGACCTGAGACTGGGCAGTTGTACATACCTGTAAAATCCCGACCCTGTTGGCTCGTTCTCTAATAGCTAGTTCCCTACTGAAAGGATCATCGATAACTACACCTTCGCTAACCAGCACGTAGGCTTTAACAGTTGGATACACGATCTCATTTATGACAGCACGGCGGGTGTAGAACTCCTTTTCCGACAGAGTATCGCCGTTCGCTCTAAAATCAAATCCTGAATGAGACTCGAAATACAAAAGTGAATAATTAAAAAACCTGATTCTTCGTTTTCAATAGGCTTTTTAAATGACTAGCTGTACCCGTCCGCTTCTCTGGGCATTTAAAGTTAACATTATTATTTCTCACCCCCACAGAGATTCTCATCATTAACGCCCCCGCAACTGGTATAGGGAGTCCAACACTCATATAAATATTAGCCTATCCAATAAGTACATGTATTTTCTACATGGATACCAAGCTTCAAGTCAATCGGACGCATGGTTCAGTAGTTATAACGGAACATCCATAAAAACCACTGTAGATTTATATATTAGTATAGATATTAATGACAAGTGCCTTTTTTGAGTTTTAACTGTTTATTAAACTGAGCTCATATTTTTATATTCTGCTCTCGAACCAGATGCGAAATACCTGTAACCAAGCGCAGCTACCGTCCTCGCAGCAGCTGTGCTTCTCAGGTTCCTCAGGTCAGCGATATCTATCAAAGAATCTAAATACTCCTCCCAAGTCACGAATGGCAATAGCCTACGATCCGCTTCCACTCCCGGGGGGTATTCGTTCTTTTTTTCAGCCATCGCCATGCTTTAAAACTTAAATTTATATAAAAAATTATCGAAATTCTACAAAAGGGTACATTGAATTTGGGAGTGACAATGACGTTGACAGCAAAATGACAAAAAGTTATCGTTTGCTTGGTCATTTGATTTCAGGTCAGATAATGTAATTGTAAAGTGTACTAAACGTATGACATTTCTGGTGTCAGTGAGCCTCACCTCTCGAGGTATACGGAGCCGTAAACCGCTGTTAAAAATTAAATTTAGAGAATAAAGAATTGAAAAACAAAGTCTAATCCGAACACACTAAATTCTGAAATCTATTTCCCTTTTCGAAGTGAAAAGATCGTATCGTGCAATGAAAACATTCAGTCTGATTATTCGGTGGCCATGGTTACATGACCTCAACGACCTTTATTTATTGCTACTAGATTTCTTTAACACAATCGTAGTAGAATTATTGTCCTCAATAACCTTCTTCTGAACGTAGCTACTAGCTTGACTTTGAGCTCGTAAAGGAGAGAAAAAATAGAACTTTAGAACATTTTAAAAGTATGGAGATAGTAAAATTTTAGCATGTATAACTCACATATCTTATACCTTTAAACGAGCAATTCTTGTATATTAATATATAATAATATGTATATAATCTAAATCTCGGAAACGGCTCCAACGATTTTCATAAAATTTAGTACACAGAGGATTTCGGGGGCGATAAATCGATCTAGCTACGATTGATTTTCAGAAAATGTTGTTTTATTTGTGTTTTCAATAATCAACTCTTCCCGACATCTAGTGGCGAATAATAATACTATTTTTCTTAATTGAGGGCAACTAACCGCTTTAAAGACACAACAAGATGGCGTTATCTATTGTTATTAAAATAGTTACCAAAGCGGATACCAAAAATTCTATAGGTATAGTATGTCTGCTGCCTACCGTAATATACTTCTTAAACAATAGAAAACACCATTATTATCTAATTATGGATATACTTTTTCCCTGACCGGTTGACCGTTAAGCATTTAAATTAACATATATGTATGTCCACGTGTGTCCTAACCGTGATTCTATATCGATTTGATAAACTTAAGAAGTCAGGTCAAGAGTAAACGGAAAATACCCCCAAACAACTCCGTAGAATACTGACGATATCATATTTATTAAAGAGCAAGAGAGCAGAGCCCAATCAATATTTTATGACCAGGAAAGCGTTTGATACATTTCAATGGCTCTTAAAGTACCCTTCGTCTATTTGCCGATACTGCAATATGAATGGGCGCCTTTGTGATTTCATAACATTTCTTTGTCATGTAAATGTTATTTATATCATGAGCTAGAGATTGACTGGATATTGTGTAGTTTCAAGTTTTAAGTAATATTTTTTTACAACTTGAGCAACTGCTTCGGATTATAAAGGAAGCGGAATTCAATGTCGGGGCTAATAAAAAAGCAATTCATTTTCAGTATGTCCTGAAAAAACTTTCGATACCGTGAGCATATGTTACCGGAACGAGTCGTTGAGTCCCAGCGGCAATATGTCAAAAACCTACTATAAAATGGTTAAAAGATTTGTCTGCTTCTGACATCCTACTCGCAGCTGCTTGTCGGCCAGTCTGTCAGTTTAAGTCGTCGTGGTCTAAGAATAAGACGTCCGGTGCATTCGTATCTAGCGATGCATCCGTGTTCAAATCCCGCAGGCGGGTACCAACTTTTCTAACGACAAACGACTTAACAAATGTTCACGATTGACTTCCACGGTGAACATCGTGTATTAAAAATCAAACCAGCAAAATTATAATTTGCGTAATTACTGGTGGTAGGTCCTCTTGTGAGTCCGCACGGGTAGGTACCACCACCCCGCCTATTTCTACCGTGAAACAGTAAAATGCGTTTCGGTTTGAAGACTGGAGCAGCCGTTGTAACTATGCAGAGACTATAGAACTCATATCTCAAAGTGGGTGGCGGAATTTACATTGTAGATGTCTATGGGCTCCAGTAACAACTTAACACCAGGTGGGCTGTGAGATCGCCCACTCATCAAAGTAATAAAAAAAGCCCTTGGTGAGGAATTTTGCAACAGCGGTGAAAAATCGGAAACCTGATAAGATAAAAAATAAAAACCTTGTAAGAATCCATAGAATATAATATAGACAGGTTCACATCAGGCCAAATTTGATTTTAACGATAAATAACGTGCAATTTTTAAGTACTTTGGACGTTGGAGGGATCGGACGCTTGGACGAGAGTTCAGGGGAGTCGCTTAGTGGGTAAGGCCCTAATTTCCATCCCTTAAGCGTGCGGCCAGCTCTCAAAATCTGCGGACCAATCCCACATACCCTGCGCACCCTCTAGGCCCGGGTTCTCGTAAGAAGTTTGGCCCAAAAAAAAAAAAACCTTTATTGATTAACCGATGTTTCATATGCCCAGAATCACCAATAGATACTTAGGTTGATTACCCAGCACCAAATTACAGTTCCTAAATATCAAATAAATTAATTGCGTAAAGAACAAAACGAGCCTAATTGTAATTTTAAAGAAAAACAATGAATTCATAAAATAAAGATGTTAAGTTAATACGGCGTTGTCAGGAGCCTTTTACATTGAATAAATCCTTTAACACATAATACTGGCCCTGTATACGGAACTCCCGTGTCGCATGACCCCAATGCACGGACTAGTTTAAAAGCCTTTTGTAAATCCACTGCGTTTGTAATAACAATGTTATTGGACTCTAATGCTTCTAGGGAGCTTACTAAAATTTAATCATTAAGTTCAAATAACGCTTCAGCTATTAAAAGAATAAGATCTTGACAATGAAGAAAAATAATGTCGTTAACGCTATAATATTCTATAAAATGTGTTTTCCTTAATTTTACAGTTTTATACTCTAGTAAGACAGCTTGTGTATGAGAAAACTGTTATTTGCGGTCTAATCAGTAAATTTTAGTCACTTAGCAAATCCCTCACGCATCGCTCCCATTACTGGCGCACACGCTACACGTTTTAGCATTTAGGGATTTAGAGCAGTAGTATAATATTTACTAACATTTATTCCATGAACGATATTCAGGAATTTTGTATTTCAATAGAAAACTATCGCACACATAGATAACCTACCACGTGATTCTCAATCAAATGTGATGAAGTTTGAGGTGGGACGCATTCCAATCGTATTTTAAATTGCTTATAAGAATCTTATAAAAATTACATTTAGACATTAAAAAAGGATTTGATTAATGTTGATAAAATATAAAGATATTATATCATCGCTATGATATATTTTTATTTATTGACGTACATTATCCAGACGGCCGTAGTGGAAAATCCAATAATGGACTGGATTATCATTTAATCTCTTTTGACCATAAGCAAGATCTTTTGCCGATTAGAGCTATAATTCTTTGTCTTTAAGTAAGTATCTTTGGCGATCGCTTTTAGCAATGTAACCGCTGATTTTACATCATAATACATTTTGCTGTACTTTCTTATTTTCGTATTTCATATTTTGTTACGTTTTCAAATGTGTATTGAGATATAAATTGTCCATAGTAGGTTTTTTAAATTCAAATGACTCTGAAAATTAGTGCCTTTGTGGAAACGCTGGGATTCTCGATGTCCGTGAGTAAACGAACCCCTTTATCTATGTCCTGAGAGTCTGTAATAAAATTCATTATTATTTTGTAAAAAATCACATCGATCTTGTATTTAGTATATATTATATGATCATATAAATGAGATCTTTATCTACGTCAAGCTAGATCCGTAAGGGTATAAAATAACGAGTCAGTTCATCAATGGTTTTTACGACAAATTTGGGGAAAAAACAGACGGGTTTTTCACAAACGGGCTGTTTTAGAGCAACATACAATAAACGCAAAATACGTAGCCGGTACCAAAGATTGCTTTTTCTAAAATCTTCCTCGTTGCGTTGATAATCCTCAATGCTGAGGGTCGTGGCCTTCTCTAATAACTTTCTGTTGGATTATCCGTCACTCCTGCCCATCCTCGGCTGTGTGGGTAGCAACGTGAACTGAAATGTTAAGAGTGCAGCATATCTGGTCCGACCGAATGCATTGGACTTCTGCTTCTGGGCCTTCTTCCGCATACCTTGCCTGTTACCAGGAGCTTATCTAAATTGTCACCTCTCTTTCTGGCATTTTGTCCAAAGAACTAGAAACTCCGCAGCGCGCATATTTTTTTAAAGTAAACAGTTAATTACTAATAAATACACTAGATTCCGATATGACAAAGATCGATAATAAGTCAATGATTGTAGGTGAGAACACTAAACTTACTACTAAGCAATTTTTTTTTCCTACCTATTCTAGTAACCTCGAGGGGTTATCCTAGATTCATCGAGCTAGTAGGTGAGTTCAAGGGGCTCAAACCGGGAGTGCTTAAAGCACCGGCCCTAGCAAGAGCAGTGCTTCGCAGAATCTAACACCGGATCGGAAACGCGACCCACTGAGAAGATCCGACGAGAAACTCAGAGGGCTGTGTCTATGTGTTAATTTACTCGTCGAGCCGTTCGTCGCAAGCGACGGTTTCGCCGAGGACGGTGACCGGGATCAAACTAATGCGAAGTAAACAGCGGATAGTTGTAAAAAGTACTATGCGCTTGGTACAAACGGTCGCGCTCGTCTCCGCAAATCAATAATGATAGTAATTTCCAACCATAAATTTTGATAAACACTATTTAGAAGCCGACCAAATATTCGCAGTACAATCTCCAGTCTGAAACGCCCCCTCAAATTTCCGACGCGACGTAATGATACGAAGGTAATTTTATCGAGTAGCATTTAAGTGGTCCGCTAACCCGAGCAAAATAAGCATGTTATTTAAAATAAATTCACGATATTACGCGGTTGTGTACGCGTGTAATTCGATTTATTTCTTGATCTTCAATTTGATGAAGTCACTCGAAGGGAATTTGGAAGCTGGGTGCGAGTAAATTAGTCTTAAATTAATTTGGTGTTGTCAATTATATTTTGATTACCCTTGGTTTTTTCATTCACAAAAAACATGTTCATGACGTACTTACAAGTAG